CTGCAATTATATAATTACATGATGCATATGCATAATGTTGAAATTACAGATGCTCCACTGTGCTCACATAGCTGACAGTGTAAAAATGCTACCATTCTATCCGTTCATTGCAAGCAACCAGAAGATTAAAATATTCCTGAGTGTTCTTAAGCCATAACCAAAATGGTCAACAGACTGATTTTTATCACTGCTCCTCTCAGAAACATTTAAATAACTGTCCAATTAAATTCAATAGTCTGCATATGTGTTTATTATAGCAACTTTAGGCTAAAACACAGATTATTGGTTGTTTAAATTTCTGCTAATTCTACAAATAAATGAACACAAAAATAAATATTAGTTGACTGCTTCTTTGTCAATTCTAAGTCCCAAATCAAATACTAAAAGCAAAAGGGCCAGATCAAAATATGACCCAAACAAAATGAGCAGTAAAATCACCAACCAAATTTCACAGGGCAGAAACAGATACTTAATTAAAAACTGATATTCTGTTTCAGCAGCAAGAGTACCCCAGTGTCTTTTAGTTTTCATTGAGGCATCAAACTTTTAAGAGAAAATCTTAATGTGCTGTTTTGTTTTTTCAACTAGACTCAGTTCAAATATGGTAATATGTTATAGAGCCTTAAATAAGGCGTATTAAAAATGTCCTTTTCGTAGATTAGAAGAAACAAAGAAGGATACGTGTATGCGCCCCCTGCTGGCAAAGCAAAGATCAGACTCTTTCTAGAGACAATAGAAACAAAATCCTGGAAGCAGAACACATTATATTCAAAGCCATTTTACAGAGGGAGCAAAACATATTTGAATTAATTAAGTAAATGTCCTGGAAGAACTACAAGCAACTGTGGTATTGCAGTTTATAGCAAGGTTAAGTGAAGTTATTGGAAAATAACATAATAATTTTTACTCTTCAAAATTTTATTAATATATTAATTTGTTGAAAAACAATGAAGCTTATGCACCTAATCTGGCTAATTCCGTAAAAGTTCTAGGAGACAAAATAAAGCTAAATTACTTTACAAGATTAATTTAAGCTTTGTAAGCTTCTGAAACTAATTATAGTCCGTTTGTCTCTTAATCTTAAAACTAGATAAATTTGGTATTTGTAGAATCAATAGAATATTTATTTTTTTTAAATTGAGTTGAATTGATCTAACATTTCCTTCTTTTTAAAGTCTTGAAAATAATGTAAAAAATAAATTTGTATAAGCTCATCAGTTTGAAGAAGGAAAAATTTTTTACAAAATGTAAAGATACAGAAAATAAAATTAATCTGCCTCAGGAATTTTGTAAACATTGACAGACAAATATCCCCCCAAACTGAAAACACTTGCAAAGAATATAAATTAGTAATGGGGATGGGATCAATGCATTAGTGTCAACTCAGGAGAACGTGACAAATAGTGTCTTAGAAGAGTTGATTTGGGGCCTGGTGTTGTCTTCTCATCAAGTGTCTGGATGATAAACTACAGAACATATTTTTAAAATCCGAAAGTGACAGTAAGGAGTTGAAGATAAATTCAGTCCCAATTTGGAAAATTTGGTGCTTTGGAGGTAAACAGTACCTCAGGAGTTAATCTGTTCAAGGTTCTTTATTTTTGCTAATGAAGAAATTGAGGCCCAGTAAGATTATGTAAGATCATAAAGATTGGAAGAAAACATAGCTTAGTAGAGAAATAATCATACAGAATGTAGTACAATAAAGACAATAGTGGAACTGTGCACTAGGAAGGAAAACAAAATATCCCACAAGTCTGGCAGAAAAATGGCTTATGATCAAAGTTCATAACAAGGTGACCATGAAGCATTAGTCTGAGAGTACAGTATAAAATTTTTTCTTTAAAAAATCCCAACCCAACAATATTAATCGACTGGAGGGAATTCAGAATGGAGGGAAATGTATAGTAAAAAATATATAAAGGGAATTAAATCCTTATGCTGCTACCAAATAGATAAAAACTTTGATCAGTTACTTAATCTATTTGACCCTCAGTTTCTAAATATATAAAATGAACAGGCCAATTACGGGATCATTCCCAATCATTAGCTTTTTAGAAACTATGCTGTATTGGCTGGTATGCCTACTGAAAGTGGGTTTCCTGAGGGGCACACACAGTAATACATTATTTTTAATTAAAAATTATATGACTTAATAAATTTGAAAAGTAGTCACAAAACTAATTAATTAGAAAGAAACAGGATTTTTAGAGAATTCCCCTGGTGGCTCAGCTGGTAAAGGATCTGCCTGCAATGAGGAGACCTGGGTTTGATCCCTGGGTTAGGAAGATCTCCTGGAGAAGGAAAAGGCTACCCACTCCAGTATTCTGGTCTGGAGAATTCCATGGACTATATATATAGTCCATGGCGGTCACAAAGAGTCAGACATGACTGAGTGACTTTTTCACTTTCAGGGTTAAGGGAGAAGAAACAGAAAAGGAGAAATGTGGAGTAGTCATGTCATCACAGGGCTATATATCTAGGATATCATATACTACAATTCTTTCATTTTAAATATAAAGAAATAAGGAATAAGAAAGTTAAATGATATGACTATAGTTAAAAGTTAACAAATGACAGAGAAGTATAGTCTGAGTCTAAGTCATATATTGCCCCTAACAGAGTAACAAGCTGTACTTCTTTACTGTGGTTAGAATGATAGGGTTGAAGAATAAGGAACTTAATCCCAAAGCATTCTCTCTACCTATAAGTTAAAAACCTATAAGTTAATGTCTAGCATCTAACAGTCCGGATAATAGTTGGAAATTGACAATCTATTTCTTATATTTTAATTTTTTTTTCATTTTTACTTCACCTGCATATTTTCATAATGACACTGGGGTATTTATTACTGGAATTAAATTGTGAACATTAAATAAAATTTTCTAACAGCATATTAGATTCTATTTTATACAGGTAAACTAATTTTACCATATATCCAAACTAGTAGTGAATCAGAGTTGCAGCAGACAGTAACAAACATCAGTGAATTCACATCAGTGAATTTTCTTATTGGTCTAACATCTGTAACAGACAGCAAGTTTATTCAGGTTTCATGTTTATATTTCCTCAAAAAAATGCTATCTACCAAAGAGTAATGTTGAAGGGACAGTCAATGATTTGAATACACATGGAAATATATATATAATAAACACAATCTTCTGAACAAAGGAGCATGCCTTTCTTGATAAGTAAATATCATAAAGGACCATTTGCCAGATGGAAGGGTTATACTGCAAGATGTAAACGTGTCATGAGATGAGGAAATACAGCAAGAGATACGACACAGTTGGATCAGAAAAAAGACCATGCAGATGGAGGCCAAGTTCTGATGAATATAACTAAATATGGTCAAGCTGTGTACCATATAAAGGAAATGAGAGTTTATGGAGTAACAACTTAGCATTAGATGGCAAAAAGCACAAAAAACAAAATTACAGATATAACCATTGGTATTCACATTCTTTGTGAAGATGTTGGAGAGGCTAAAAGCCAAATTTGAAACAATGTGTACAATCTACTAACAGCCGAGTGTGCCTAACTGAGGCATGATCAGATTTTCACACTTGCAGGTTATCCACTCCATTTTCAATGAACCATAAACGGTGGTAAAATCTAAGTAACACGGAGATAAAGGGAAGTAATGGCTGCTACTTGGAAATGAGAAACAAAAACACAGTCTTCCACTTAATATTATATACAGAGCTGAACTTTCTAATATAGCTAGACTTCCTTTTGGGACAGTCATTTCTTTAGGAGGGATGTGGAGAGAGGCATGCTCTGGAGTAGAATATTTTTTCAAAAAGAGGAAGCTGACAAGTCTTACTGCCAGTGTAAATGTTGCTAGTGGCCAGTTTTAGAGGACCTTTTCTACTTTGCTGTTTTAAGACAATGTGACTGCTTTTTAATCTCTCTTCAAATATCCAAGAACCACTCTGGGGAACCACAGCTGGCTATACACATCAGAATACTATAGGCAGTTCCATGCTTTATTAAGATAAAGGATTCTGGGTTTATTCCTCCCCTTCTTTTTTTTTGGCTAGGTTATTTTGGCTTTCTATAAAATTCAATGGTACAGGGTAGTTAGTTATAATATTCATTGCTAGTGATTTTCATATTTCTTTAAAAATAAATTATAATGTTCAAATAAGATAAGCATCTATAATCAGAAGTGATTGTTTTATCTTTAAAAATTAATTTTATCAAGCTTCTCTGGTGGTTCAGTGGTAAAGAATCTGCCTGCCAATGTAGGAGACATGGGTTCAATCCCTGATCGGGAAGATCCCATGTGCTGTGGAGCAACTAAGTCCATGCACCACAGCTATTGAGCCTGTGCGCTAGAGTCCAGGAGCTGCAACTACTGAAACCCACACACCTTGGAGCCCTTGCTCCACAAGAGAAACCACTTCAATGAGAAACCCGAACACCCACAACTAGAGGGTGGCCCTTGCTCTCTGGAATAAGAGAAAAGCCTGTGCAGCACCAAAGACCCAGTGCAGTCAAAAACACACGTTATTTACAAAGCTGATTCTATCAAACAGCCATTCATAATTGGAAAAAAACATGGCCTCGTGCCTAAAGATAGATAGGCAATCTATCTTTACCATGTAATTTTCCTTGAAAGATACATACTGGAGGTACAGGAAAACTTTAGAACTGAAGTTCTGTAAATTTTGATCACCACCACTAGTTGTTTCAAGGATCTCCGATTTGTTCCTGCGTTATTGCCTACCGTATTTCATTGACAGTTTCCATACAGCAACTTGATCACACTCTCTCCTTGGTTAAGCCCCGATTTCCCTTTGTTTTAGGAAGTCAACATACATATTTTGGAAGGTTCCCAGTTTGGCCTATAATAAATTTTATTTAGATTAATACTGTACCAGAGTCCAGGGATCAAATCCCTTAACGCACAACCATCGCTGTGCGTCATTACTCTGCACCCTGTTACCAGGCAACGGGTCCTGCTCAGCCATTGGTTGGTGCCTCAGTTGGCCCTGCCCACAAGCAACCAACTGTCGCTGAGTGACCGTTAGTAGTACTGCTCTGTCACTGGTCAGGGCTGCAGTGTGACGAACTGTCGGTGAGGAAGGATTAGTGAAGCGATTCAGCCAACGGCCGTCAGGCGGAGAATGAGGTAAGAGAGGCTTTAGGCCCGCAGGTGAGCTGGGGAGCCCAGGGAACAGGCTGGGGGCTGTGTCCCTGCAGCTCCAGAGCCCTTGCCTTATCCCAGGCCTTGAGGCAGCGGTAGAAGCAGCAGTTGTCCTGGGTTCCAGTCTGCGGGACCTGGCCCCCCAACCTTTGGGAAGCGTGAGGAGCCTGAGGGTCAGTTGGGCGGGCGCCTGGATCCCTCAGCGATGACAGCTGGGCAGGTCTAGGGACCTGGCCCTGAGGAAGCCGCCAGCCAAGATCTGACTCCTCTTAGCCTGGACCGCACGGGACCGCACGGGGCTGGTACCTCAGAGGGGAAAGTTGTGCCTCGGGACCTTGCCCTTTCTTGTCAGAACAGAGAGTAACATTTGGTAGAGATTTACTGTAACTTCATTACTTGTCCACGACCCCACCTCAAGAACAAAGGATCTGACACCAAAAAGTTTGTAACAACTCCCCATGCCCCTCCCTCACCTTTCCTAGCAAAGGGCTGTGCTGCAAGCTTTCCGGGACTTGGATTTTTAAGGCATCTCCTTGCAGGGCCCTGTAATAAACCTTTCTCTGTTTCAAAGTCCAGCGTTATTGTTTGGCCTCACTGGGCATAGGGCACAAGGACTTGAGTTTTCGGTAACAACACCTCTTTGTAAAAGCATTAGAACTAGAACTATAGTAACTCTTTTAATACATTATAAGTCATTATATTAACTCTTTCTCACAGAATCAACAAATTATACAAACTCATGTGATCTGGGGATAACTCCCCATTTAACATGGAAGAAATGAAAGCCTGGCCCACAGAAGTAATTTGTTCAGATTCACTCTGCTGTGTCGCTCCATAATAAGTGCTTGTGCTGTGCTGTGCTTAGTTGCTCAGTCCCGTCTGACTCTTTGTGACCCCATGGACTGTAGCCTGCCAGGCTCTTCTGTCCATGGGCATTCTCCAGGCCGGAATACTGGGAAAGGTTGCCACACCCTCCTCCAGCGGATTTTCCCAACCCAGGGATCGAACCCAGGTCTCCTGAATTGCAGGTGGATTCTTTACCATGTAAGTCACCAGGGAAGCCCAAGAATATTGGAGTGAGTAGCCTATTCTTTTCTACAGGGGATCTTCCCAACCCAGGTATCAAACTAGGGTCTCCTGCGTTGCAGGTGGATTCTTTAGCAGCTGAGCTACCAGGGCAGCCCATAATAAGTGCTTAGTATACTTCATTATGGGGCTTCCCTTATAGCTCAGTCGGTAAAAAATCTGCCAGCAATGCAGGAGACCTGGGTTCAATTCCTGGGTTGGGAAGATCCCCTGGGGAAGGAAATGGCAACCCACTCCAGTATTCTTGCCTGGAGAATCCCCATGGACAGAGGAGCCTGACAGGCTACAGTCCATGGGGTCTCAAGAGTCGGACACAATTTAGCGACTAAACCACCACCATCATACTTCATTACTCATTATCTCAACACAGTTTAGTGCACATATATTGGATTTTTGACACCGTGATAGCGCTGTGGAGTTTGTGGCAGACACAGGAAGAAATAGTTCTGGTCCTTATGGAGCTTACAGCCACAGAAAAAGTACTAGTATTACAAAATAATTGTGCCAAAAAAATAAAGCACAGCTGTGATAAATACTACAAGAGAATTTCATAGTGTGGTAAGAATAGTAGGGTGACTTGAGTTAATTAGGATGATTTCCCAGCAGAAATAAACTTGAGCTAAGGGCTGGATTTTGAGGAGGAATTACCAAATTAAAAAAAGGGAGAGAACTTTGTAAATAGGAAGGTCCCATGGCGGTGACCTACCTTGTGTGTGGCCTCCATCATCTCTTTGACATCTCTCCTTTGCTCGCCCTCCCCACTCAGCATCAATCGTGCTATTCTCTGAGCAGGTAGAGCTTTCGCTTAACACTCTAGCCCTCATCCACACGATATCTCCTCAGTCACATGGTATCTTCTCAGCTAGCTCCTTAACATTCCCAGTGAAGCCTCTCCTGACCATCTTACTTTCCATAACACTAAAGTCTGCTCCACTGTGTCCTCCAGTATTATGTGGCTTGATTAATCTTTCTTTTTTTTCCTTATGTTGCTTTTTCACACAGTTTGTAATTATATGTAATATGTATTGTGTAGTGGTTGATTCTTCAGCTAGAACACAGGATCTGTTGAGTGCAAGTGATCTTTGTCTAAAGTATACCAAATACCACAGACAGATACATAGTAACTGTTTAAAAAATACATACTGGTGGAACTGACTTACTGATTGCTGAAGGAAGGCTTGTGTCTGGAGCATGAAGTTTAGAGAGGTAGGGGCCAGACCTGGCAATCTGGTGATGTTTTGTAACTGAGGGGGAGAGAGAGAGAGAGAGAGGAGAAAAGAAGAGAGGGGCCATTTAAGAGATTTTTAAGAAGGGGAACAGGGGAATGTGAGTAGATTTAAATTTTGAAAAAGTACCCCTGGTATTAGCTGCTGTAGTATTCCAGGCAAAAGCTTAGGGTAGGGTGACAGAGGGCAAGACGGAAAGCAAAGAATGGAGTCAACAGAAATTTAGGAGGTAAAATGTTGGTTACATGAAGAAAGTTTGTGTAGTCAAGAATGCACCCTTTTTCATGATTCCTCCCATGTTCTTTCTATTAGAGAGAGAGAAAAGAGCATAGATTTTATTTTTAGTAGGATCTCAGCATAAATTCTGATTTCAAAACATACTAAGTAACTCTGGACAAGTAACAACCCCTGAAACCCTCAAATTACTGTCTATGCACAAGGTGACATGCTTCCTGGCAGACTTTCTGTAAATATTAAATTAGAAAATGTATGTCAAGCACCTGGTAGTCAACAAATAGAACCTGCTCTTAATAGCATCTTTCTCTGTAGAATAACTTTCTTTAGAAAAAAAAAGGCTGTTTTATAAGATTTGATCTGCACTTTGGCTTTTCTTCAAATTGTCACTTCTGAATGTTGCAATATTAAATGTCTGGTTGCTACTACTATAAAACAGAGCATCTACTATAATTGTCACCTTCAGAAATGCACTATATATGACAAATGTAGTAGTGACGGCCTCTAATTGTCACCTCCCGCCTTGACACTGACTTGGCCGTATGATTGATTCTGGCCAATGCAATAGCAAATATGACTTAAGTGGAGGCTTGTAAAGCACTCCCATTGTGGGACTTCCATCTTTGCTGCTCTTGTGTTCACTGTGACTGTCCTCTGTCAAGAAGTCCACTCTAGCCTCCTGGAGGATGAGTGACCACATAGAACTGAGATGAGTTATCTCAGCTATAGCCCCCAAGCTCAAGCAGAGTGCAAGTGATCATTTTTATGAGGTCATCCTAGACCAAACAGCCCCAGTTGAAATATACTACCTGACAACAGAGATCACCCAAACTGATTCAGACCAGTGGAATTGCCCAGTAGATCTTGTGGCTTGTGAGAAACACTAAAAGTTTCTTGATTTAGGCTACTAAGATTTTGAGTAATTTATCATGCAGCAAAATAATTTGATTGACATATCAATGTATCTCCAGTCTCTAGCAAGACGCCTAGAACATAGTGGATGATCAGTAAATACTCCAAGAAGTCTGAATCTTTATTTAATGACCTTAAAACAATATATGATTGGATCAATTGCTAAAAGTTAATGTTTTGAATAAAAAACAACTTTTCTTCAGTAGTTACTATAACATGAGTTATCTAATAGGAGTTTTTCTGCCTTGGTAACAGTGTTACAAATATTATTTTCTTAAACTTTTGTGTGATTTATAAGCCATAAGGATCAAATATCATTTTGTATCTGTGTTAACTGTGAAATTTTAGTTTGCATGAATCAATAACTAGTTATGAATGTCAGGAAATATTTTACATACATATCTAAGTATGTACTTAAAAGTACATTTATATATAAAAGTACATATATATTTGTGTGTGTGTGCATATGTGTGTATGTATATATATGGACATGAATTTGAGCAAACTCCAGGAAATAGTGAATGACAGAAAAGCCTGGCGTGATGCAGTCCATGAGGTCGCAAGTAGTTGGACACAACTTAGCGACTGAACAGTGACACATATATGGATGCAAGTGGGTAAATTTTACATTGGGAGGATTAAATAAAGTTAAATGGCTTGGAGAGCAGTCACAGTTGAGAGAAAGAGCTGGCTAAGACCAGCTGTGGAGAAATTTGAATAAAACTTGAAGACAGATATATCACTTAGGATAAACACCACAGTCCTCACAACACTTACTGTGACTTATGAGGCCCTACCTATACTGTTACCTGTTACTCTCTGATTTCATTTTTAATTACCTCCTTGTCCTCACCCCTGCAGCTCTGATGGTCTTTTTGTTCTTCAAACTTGCCAAACATGTTTACCTCAGGGCCTTCGCACTTTCTAATTCCAATGCCTGGATGCTTTTTCCAAATAGTTACATGGTTAGCTCACTCACTTTCTTCAGGTTTTTGCTTAGTAACCACTTTATCAACAAAAACTTCCTTGGTTGACCTATTTAATGTCTCAACATCTTTCAAGATGTCTCTGATTTATCCTACTTCTCTGATTTCAATTTTCTCCTTAACATTCATCACTGTATCAAGTACTATATGTGTTTTACTTATTTATTTTCTTTATCATCTACCTCCACACACAAGCATATAGCCAAATAAGGATAGAGATTTTATCTAAAGGTTTACTACTTTATTCTCAGTACTTAGAACAGTGACTGACATATAATAAAAGCCTGCTAATAATAAATAAATGAAGGACAAATGTTCTTATTCCTAGGTGTTTCAGTGTCTGTGGATTACCTGACATTTTATAGAACTTTGATGTAACTGTAGATATAATTGCAGTTTTATTGGGAGAAGGTCCATGACTTTTAGAAGATTAGCAGATTACTTAGAGCGGGAAACTAAAATGCTACTAAGAATTGATCTAAATAATTTAAAATATTTTTTGAAATGGAGAGGTGAGAGGTCCTGAAACTTTTTAAGAAGG